TTAGGGTACCCAAATACATGTGTTCAAATATTTAGTTTTTCTGCTATGGGTTGGAAGTGGGAACTCATGAGCAAATGAAGATCAATTTTAAAAAATAAATAACATTACATTTTATTCATTTAAGTTAGGCCTATCCATTTTAGCCTTGCTTTTACAGAAATGCATGACCTCCTTCTGAACTGATAATATTCAACTCTTTCTTTGTTGTTCACCTTTCCAGTAGTCAGCTTAGTTTTGAAACATCACTATATCTATACATCCCTCCTTTAAGGCTCCTATAAAGAAATCCTATACTTCTTTTATTTCAAGGAAAAAAAAATCAAAAAATTGGGTAGATATTCTTGTAAAAGAAAGCACTGAAATAAAAACTAAAAACTGGGACTGTGATTGTGCACTTCTATCCAAAGATATAATGAAGACTTAATTACCAACTCAGAAATAGGATCCAGTCTATTCAGAATTTCTCGAGGGGTAATTTTGTAGGCTGGGATATTTACTCTTCCTCTTCCGCTCCCTGTGCTATTCAGAATGTTTACTGGCTTTGTTTCTTAATATATTTACGAGGGAGGTGACAGGAAAGCTAAGATTATAATCCTGATGAACTACTTTTACCAGTTTTTCTACCAGATGCTGGTTCTGACAACATGAATGTGCTCTGGTCCCTAAATAGCCACTCAGTGCCCAAGTGCCAGTCTCTAGGGGACATCACTGACATGCAACTTAAAGAAATGTATCCTCTTTTCTTTCAAAGCCATCAATACACTTGGGAATTTTCTCCCCATGTTTGGTAAAGAGAAGGTATTGGTTGATTTGAGAAATAGAAGATGGGAAAAAAACCACAAAAAAAACAACAGCTGCTTTTGGCTTCAAGAAAAATAAAGCTTGACTCCAGTGACCTGAATAAACAAGGATTTTTTTTTCCACATAAAAAGGAGTGAAGGTGACTTCTGACTCCAGTTCACTCGAGCTTGAATTTTCTTGACTGCACAGCTCCAGGCATGGTGTCTGCATTGGAAAAAGGACAGTGTAGGGGCAGGGTGACAGCTGAATCAGGAAATAAAAGCTTTCTCAAGAACACCATAGCTGACCTCTGCTTATCTCTCAGTGGCCAGGACTGTGTCACATGGCTACTCCTGACTATGGCAAAGAAAAATTACCTCTCTGGCAGCTAAGCTACAAGGGTGGTCTTAGGATTGATATACAAGTCACAACTAGCAAAACAGGCTTTACTATTACTCACAAAACAGATACATTTTTCCAAATGAGGCAAGAACACCACCTACTTAAACTCAAAATATTTCAACAGCAGCTTCTTCATCCCATATGTCCTTGTAAGAATCACAGACAAGGCATCAAGCAGTAACTCCTCATAGATTCTCACGTTCCAAGGCTGCAGCGGCTCTCTTCCTTTACAGATTATGACCAACACCTGCCAGGGCCCTCCCAGGACTTACTCCAGCCGCCCATCCCCTTCTCTCACTCTCTTCCTCTTCTCCACCCGCCCTTCCCTTCTCCCCTCACTTCCTTTGAAATGGCCCATGATCTTGTTGTAGTTCTCTCTGGCATGAGCAAGTGTGTAAAGCTAACTTTAGTTGTAAGAGGGTTTCTGCAGGAATTTGGCTCATATTTCACACCTGAAAAGAGGTTAGAGAGAAGTGGGTTGAGAATAGGAACTATAAAGGGCGTCTAAAGATGTTTGCCATAAGGAATCAACAATGTAAGGGTGCTAGGAGCAGATTAAAAATGATAATTATGCAAGGAGGAACAAAGAGGTTATGTGCTGGATAGCTTTCTAATTTCAGAGAGTGTTCTAGCAACTGAGGATGTGCCAGAGGCCCTCCTCCCTAAGAGCAGGGTATCAATGAAAGGGTAGCGCTGGAGGCCTTTGTTGTTGGAAGATGTTTCCTGCCTTCTATTCGCCTCTTGCCCTCTCAGGTCTATGGCTGTTTAGGAAATAACAGCTGAAGAAACCAGAGGCCCTCAATAGGTCAGCATGGCCATTTTATCAGCCTGCTGATATATGCTTGTTACATACTTACATCCAGGTGCCTTCTTGACAATTCAACCCAAACGTCCAATAGACATCTCAACTCATGCTCACCACTGATTTCATGATTTTCCCCCCGACCAATCTCTACCATTAGCCTTCCCATCTAAGGAGACGGTAACGCCTTCCTTCCAGTTGCTTTTACCAAACCATTTCCTCTTTTCTTCTCATGCTCCACATCTAATCCATCAAGAAACACTACTAAATATATTCAGAACTGGCCACATCTCAGTACCTCTTGTGCCAACGCCCTGGTCTGAGGCCACCAGAATCTCTCATTTGGATTATGATATACAATAGCTCCCTGTTTCTACATTTTACAGGAAACAAGCCAGGTGTAAATCCACACACAAAGAAAGAAAAGGAAGTTGAAATCATAAGGCATTCCAAGACACACAGCAAAACTCCCTTAGTGTCATCTTCCCCAAACTATTTCCCTAAGTTCTACTCATCAAATCATTGCAGCTGCTCCTATTATCTCCAAACATTTTATAAAAATCACATTGGTGGAAGCGTTCATATTTTTTCACCCTATGTTCTCATTTATTACCCCCCTCCCCTGCCAAAAAAATAGCTTTCAAATCATCAAGCTGAAGATTGAAGGGAGAAAAGTAAGAAAGAGCCAATGCAGGCTTACTTAGGGAGTATTTGGGTAGTTTGAAAATAAAATGGAAGAGATCAGGCAATTGCAAAATTTTAGTTAGTGGGGGTGGTGGGGGAATGAACAAGAGGTGAGCTAAGGATGTGTCATTAAAGTGTGACCAGTGGGTCATCAATATATGAGTTTAGGCTAAACCCACTGGTCCTCTCACCTGGCAGACACAGACTAAATCCTCAATGATCTCCTCAATAGTTCCAATGGGTGAATATAGTCTTGTGTCATATTTACAAAAATACAACACTTCATAGATTAAGATTTTGACCTGAAGACATTTTAAGTAAATAAAGGAATGTGGTATTCCACACATTGGTAGTTCATGTACAGAAGTTATTGCCTTAAAAAATGAGACAAGCAGAACATGGATTCCATAGTGGTTTTAGGAAATTTGTGGGCTATCATCCAGGAGGACAGGAAAGAAATTCCCTGTTCTGTCAGCTGCAGGAGCCTTGACAACATGGACAATGGACTGACTCTATTCCTACAGCTACCAAGAATTGAAATTTGCATTTCCCATACTACATCTTCACCAGGAAGGCCATATTCCACTCTGCTCATTTACCAAAATCTCATTCATTCTTTTGAGGCCAATTTAACTACCACTTTTTTCATGGGAGTAATCTATTAAAATTTCAGTATCTCTCCCATACTTCTTTAGTAGCAAACGATTTAACTACAATGCTCAGGAAACATGCTGTTTGGAGTGAAACAGCAATATTGCCATAAAATCTAGCCTGTTTACAAAAGCTGAAGGAACTAACTTGGTTATTACTGACAGAAATTATTATATTATTAAAGCTACTGGCATGGAAAATGGACAAGGTAGTAAAATGTCTCCATATGCTGTATAACTATTACTCAGAAGAAAAATCTTCCTGTGTGGAAAACAATTACTAAAATTTACAGATAAACATCTACTACCAGAACATATGGTTGTTAAACTTCATCTCTCAGTTTTTCTGATTATTGCTACCATTTGCTTTAGGCAGAAATAACAGTTATTACACTATATTGATGGTTCAAAGTTATGAGTATATTTCTATTAAAATTGTTCATTGTTCTGTTTAAATATAAACTGTTTAGTCTGCCATTATGAATATTTGCAAGTATGTAATAGAAATAAACACTGATACATCAAATTTTATTACAAATATGTTAACGCTTTAAAAGTTATAATCTATAGCTGTCATAAACTAATTTATTTCATACAAATAGTATTTTATTTAGATTATATGGGAAAAACTTACTTTTTTATAAATGACTTTATATATTTTTAAGATTAATCATATATCTTTGAATGACTTCCCCAAGGATATCTTTTTAAATTAAATGATATCATTAGAGATTTCAGGTATATATATATATATATATATATATATATATATATATATATATATATATATATATATATATAGAGAGAGAGAGAGAGAGAGAGAGAGAGAGAGAGACATAGAACTTTCATCTTTTAAAATATAAAATTAATTACATTATTTTTCAGGATAAGATAGCCCTCTAATTTAAAAATGTTTTTTAAAACCACCTAAATTCACCAGGTTAAAATCAGTACTTTGTTAGGTGTGATTTGTTTATGGGCAAAACATATGAAAATGAAATATTTTCATGCTGGAAGAAAAGACAATTTTAGAAGCATATTAAGGTAGAGTATGTAATTCTGTCACAATATTTCCTACAAAAGAGGTATCTTTCCATTGTGTAAGAAGTCAACTCAGTTTTCCTAAAAAGCTCCTCCTGAGAGTTGCAAAAACTAATAAAGATTAGATTTTGCAATATTTTAGCATATATATTTTATAAGCAAACTCAATTACATTAAACATTCTGCTTCTGCAAGCCCCCATACAGCCCACCAACATTTTTTAATACTTCTTTTACTTCGAGGAGGCTTTAGCGGGGACAATATGATAAGGATGAGTTGTGACCAAGACAAGGAGAGAAGGGCATCTCTGCTTGTGGGTATAGGAAGCAAAACCAAAAATAAACGGAGCTCCTTTATATCTCAGCTGTTGATTGCAAAACCACTGACATAATGCTCACACTCACGGAGCGAGGTTGATGGAGTAAGGTGACATCACAGATTGTTCTATCATGTATGTCCATGTCCTGATATAAAAGGCATTGCTACAATCACACATACAGGACCACGGGCATGGCAAAAGGCTCTTCCTGCCTAACCCATCCGAGGGGTGGGTGGGAGGGTGAGTGTTTCATTCATCCCACAACATAAACATGAATTTGAAAAGTCTGGACAATGTGAAGCAGGATGAAAAGACCATTTACCTGTCTATGATGGCGCACATGTCAATGCTGACGTTTGCAAAACTTCCTGGTTTCCTTTGTGCCACCTCATATAAATTTACAAGTTGATCATCCACTTGAATGAGCTGCATGCATCCTTGGAATGAAGGCTGAAGGACAGAGTGACTTGAGTTACTCATCTGGTTCAGAAAACCTGTGAGAGAGCAGAAGAAATGGAGAAGTTAAAATCTGTGTATAGCACGCTTCACTAGGTCTCCTCTGGTGATGCTCCCTGATCTCAGCCATTGCCTCCAACTCTTGCTTTGTTGATCCTTCCTGGTGTTGTATTCAGTACAGAGGAATGAAGTATTGTGAGAAAGAGATATTATTTCAGGGAAAGACATAAGGGTTGAATCTAAATGAATCTTTGTCTCTGGAGTCTAGCATTCCTTATTATTTTCTCCTTGACTTCTTTCTCACTCTGTCACAGTTCATTCTATGTCCCTCTGCTGTTAATAGCTCACTGCTGTACTTCCGCCCCTGACCCTACCTACAGAGATTAGAACATAAAATTTAGACCTTTCTTAACTATCCAAGTGCCTTCCTCTTAAACTTTCAATATTACATCTATTTCCTTAATTCTCTAGAGGCCTGTTATTTAGATGTTAAGAAGCTAAACTTACTATTATCAATTAAGATGAATCTATTTTATGGATTAACTAGAGGCCTGGTGCACAACATTCATGCACTGAGTGGGGGGTGCGGTGAGGGGAGGGAATGGTCCCTCAGCCTGGCCTGCGCCCTCTTACAGTCCAGCACCTCTCAGGAGATGTCCACCTACTGTGGAGGTGGGAGAGGCTCCCAGCACTGCCACTGTGCTTGCTGTGAGCCTGGCTTCTGGCTGAGCAGCGCTCCCCCATGGGAGTGCACTGACCACCAGGGGGCAGCTCCTGCTTTGAACGTCTGCCCCCTGGTGGTCAATGCACATCATAGTGACCAATCATTCCGCCATTTGGTCAATTTGCATATTACTCTTTTATTATATAGGATGTCTAATTCAATCCAAAGGTATATTTGCATTATAAATGATTTCTCATTTTATAAAATCCTAAGAAACATTACAAAGAATATATTTAGACATAAGGATTAGCCACCCTGCTCTGAATGTCTACACACACACACACATGCCAAGTTTGAAAATAGATTAAAATTTTTATTACAAAACTAGAGGCCCGATGCACGAAATTCATTCAAGAGTAGACCTTCCCTCCCCTCTCCCCCAGCTGCAGGCACCAGCTTCCCTCTGGCACCGGGGACCCAGGCTGGCTTCCCTTGGGCCACCCGCAGGCACCCAGAACCCCAGGCTGGCTTCCCTCGGCCCTGGCTTTGTCCTGAAGGACATCCGGTCTAATTAGCATATTACCCTTTTATTATTACAGATAACTTTAAAATAGCATCATCAAACAATTACTATTATGACTTTTCAGTAGAGACATGCATAGGAAGTTAGTATGCATAGAAAATTAGTAGGCCATAGAAAATAATATATCTCTAGAAAGTCCCCCAAAGCATTTCCTTTGCATATAGCTCCCTACATCAAATTGACCTACCAGAAAAAATTTAAACTATGCTAATTTGCTTAAAAATCTGATTATTCACACATTTATTTCAATCAAATAATATATGTACAGCAAAAAATAATTTCTACATAATGGATTAAGACCAATACCTGCCATTAATTTATTAAAAGTAAATTTTCAATAAAAACTCTATAAAAATTGACCATTAAATTATTTTTTAAAGTATCCTATTTTGTTTGACTGCTAATAGTAGTTAAGAACAATAGAAAACTCCTCCCTTTATTAATGGTTTATAATATTTAAAGTTTAATAATTATTATTTGAACCTCTTTAAGGGTTAATCACAGAGGTAGAGTATATCCTTTTCCATCAACAGAATTCTATGTAAAAATAGGATTCAACTTAAATGAATTCATTGACTTAAAAATTAATATAAGACTCTATTTCAATGTCAAGCATATAGCTCATCTATATATTTTTTTCTAAGTCACATTTTTTTATTTGCATTTACTTAGTCCCCACTGAAATTGCTGATCTTAGAGAAGTCATCTATTTAGACAAGCTGTATGCATACACATGCTTTTAAATCTGTTCAATCAAAATAATATTGAAAGAAGTTAATGTCTACACTTAGCAGAAAGTAAACATCCAGCTGTAATGTTAATGACTATTCTTGACAAGACGATCGTTTGGTTCTGTTGTTGAATACTAGGAAGTCTCTAAATATCCATAGTGGCTTAGAAATATTCCAAAATGAGTAGATCTATTTGGGAGAACATGACCTTTTCTGATGCAAAGCAGCTACATAACACAGATTGCTATGAATTGAATTGGGTATAATTAAGTTCATCAAACAAGACTTCATCAGTAACACATAACAATGTTCTGTTTGGTCCTAAGGGATTTTTGAATTTGAAAGTGTCCTGTCCTTTCATTTTCCTACATGGGATACATTCTAGTAGAAGACAATAATAGGGCATACTACTAAATTGCTATTAAACGTTTAAGTTTTCCCCCCTCTCCTTGTATTATCTTTAACATTTCCAAGAGGGACTCCATTAATTCACACCATCTTTTAGACCCCTTCAACATTAAATTAGGGCTGATCTCTGTAGTCAGTAAAAAACTGTGGAAGTGGTGGCTGTGGAAAACTAGACTTCCAAGGCTAGTTTTCAACTTGATCTCGGAGACTGCTAATCCTGAAAAGTCAGTCATCATACTTGAGCAATCTTATGGAAAGGCCCATGAGAGGTAAAAAATCATGAGTTTAAGCCACTACATTTTGGAGTGATTTCTCATGTAATAATAACCAATAATGAATTTGGTACTGAGAGAGAATTGTAACTTAAATCTAAAAATGTGACAGTGACTTAGGGGCTGGGATGTCCAAATAAGTTGGATGGGCCTGGAAAGTACTGTTACTTGAAGCCTAAAGGCTTTAGAGTTTGTTGGAAATGGCTTGAAAGAAGGTGAGGAAAAATGTTATTGGAAACGAGAGAAAACCAGATCTTGTGTTGCTGAAATGGGAAGTTTAGCAACACTGTGTTAATATGGAAAGAAAAGAGGTATACTTGAGATATTTGTAATCGAGCTAATGGCATTTTCAGACAGCGAATTCTGACATCTTTCAATTTATAGTAAAAGGGAAAAAAGAAGTGAGAAAAGCTAAAGAAAAACTGTTAAATACAAAGAAGCAGGACTTGATAGGGTTGAAGATAATGCTTTCTCAATAGCAGTCACTTCAGTTGGCAACAATGCAAAAATGAATAAACCACATTCAGGCAAAGATCAACTACCACTAAAACATAATCTAAAGATAACATGAGATGTAACTATAAAATCCATATTAAGACTTCAAAACATATTAGGTGGTGCCTCAAAGAACTATTCAGTCAGACAAAAATACTCTAGGAAACATATCCATATATATAAAATCCCAGCAACCAGAACGGCAGAATGTGGAACTACTGGTGGCTCTGATGCACACTGAGGCAGCCAACCAGCCTGATCTGGCCCCTGATGGGCCCCCAACATTTTGATCAGGGGTGGGGCCAGCTGGCCAGACCCCACCCATGCACGAATTCATGCACTGGGCCTCTAGTTGGTGTATATTGCATATCCTTTGAGTTACACAATAGGGATTCTAATAATCTTAAAGGCATCTTGCCCTTAGCATGTCAGCAGAAACCCAATGTAAAAATGAAACAAAAACTGTTTAATGAAAGGCTACTGATTTTTAAGAGAACTGTACTGGCGAAAACACCACAAGCTTGGACTGAAAGAACTATAGATGGTACAAAATGAGAAAATGTCTTTAGATGCTAAACTTCTACAGGCAGGAAAATACACAGCTGTGAACATGGACTATGTTTTATTTTAAAAGGAAAGCATGGATTAGATTGGTTAAACTGAGAATCCAGAAGGCACAAATGATTCTGCCATGGAGAATCAGTTCTAGGAAATAATAGACCTGAATTCTAATCAAGGAATTAGCAACATGTGCCTGACTGGATGTCAGAACTGCTATGGAACTCCTGTTTTTCTCCATTTGAACTGGAGAGTCTAAAGTGATAGCTCTATGCTTATCCTATCTTTGTATGTTGAGTGTGTGAGTGGCACAGAATTGTTTACAGGTCTTCAGATGAGCAGCTATAGTTGAGTAACTGCACCTGTCACTTCTGCAATGATCTATTTGTCTCACAGGTCAGCACTGATTCAGTGTGGAAGGTACTACCCAAAGGTATGAATAATAGAAAGTTAAGACTTATGGCTCTCTTAAGGATGGTTACCAGAGTTTGCCCTTTGGGACACAGAAATTCATGTCTCTTCAACATGAAAGTATATTCAACACCTCCAAAGGCCCTCCAATGTTTCATCCCATCAGAGCAAGCATGTCAAACTCAAAAGCTAACACTGGCCAAATAAACAAGGTTTAAGTTTATGTGGGCCACAAAAAAACCCCCAAAGCTTCAATTTTCATAGAAATGTAGAGACATGCTGAATACAAAGAGCAGAAATAAATGAGTAACTGTTAACATAAAATAATAGAACATTTAAATAAAAATTAATATTTTTTCTTGAACATTAACTTACCAGACACTGAATAACTGCACAAATTAATAATCATAATGCAAATAAACCTATTTTTTTGTTCTCCAAAAGCTAAATATTTCCTGTTGTGCACACTAAACAAGTCAGTCCAAGACTAATGATGTGGCAATTGCTGCTAAAATATTTGCTGCTAGTATTAGTGGAGAGAAATGGTGGGCCTGCATGTAAGGGAAATGAATGCAATACGATTATAGCAATCACTCATTAGCAAATGTTGTAGTTCAGTATTAATAACTAGAGGCCCTGTGCACAAGATTCATGTACTGGGGCGGGGGGGAGGTGTCCTTCAGCCCAGCCTGCACCCTCTCCAATCTGGGGCCCTTGGGGGATGTCAGACTGCCTGTTTAGGTCTAAACAGGCAGTCGGACATACCTCTCACAATCCGGGACTGCTGGCTCCCAACCACTCACCTGCCTGATTGCCCCTAACCACTTCTGCCTGCCAGCCTGATCACCTCCTAACCACTCCCCTTCCAGCTTGATTGATGCCTAACTGCTCCCCTGCCAGCCGGATTTCCCCCAAA